GAAATATATATTTACTTTCTAAGAAAAAGCATTAGTTATTCTCCAATTATAGATATCACACTATAGTTTCACTGTAGTTTCAGTGAAAATAGAAACAATGAATATGGTAATCAGAACTAAAAGAATTGATTTTTTTATTTCAGCTGGATATGTTCAACAACAGCAGACACACCAAAATTGACAGGAAAAGATCATGAGGCCTGAACCTTACATGAATAATTGATTTCTTAAGATAAAATTTCACCCAGACAATAACCATCAGTACTTAGGGAAGCTCACAACCTTAAATGTGATGAGGCCATGTTTGAGTTTTCTGTTCAAAAGAAAGCAGGACAAAGCAGGTTGAAAGAATATGAGCAGTAAAAATGAGAAAGTGATGTTCACTCCTCTCCATAAGAGACATGGATACTCAATACTGAGTCCCACATGCACCTTGTAAGTGAGTGGAGATCAAAAACCAACATGGGTATCATGTCAAGAACAACTATCACCTATTTTAAGAGAGTGTTCCTCATTGGGTTGTGGTTTACCAATTAGCTGGAGTAGTTAGACAAGAGATCCTCCTGTCTCTGCCTTTCCAACACTGAAATTAAAACACACCATCAGTCTTGGTACCGTGGTGTGTGTGTGTGTGTGTGTTTGTTGTATGTGTAATTTGAGTGTGTATGGTGTGTGTGTTGAGTGTGTGTTGTGCATGCGAGAGTTGGCAAAATATTCAATAATAATGGGATAATACGCTCCTGGGTCATTCTGCTTTTAATTTTGGTAAAATCTATATTAGAAATATTTGTGTAGCTATGCCTCCATACATTATCAGTACTCTTCAGGAAATCAGTAATGACTTGTGGATGAGTTCCTGGTTCAACTTCTGTATCTCTAAATCGAGGCTACCAGCTTCATAGGAAAAACATCTATAGTTGTGAATGTATGTTTATGAATAACAAGTTAAGCATTAAAATAATGTGCATGGGTTATCAAATGATGAGGTCAGATTTGTCCTGTTCTTAGAAGCATAAACTCTGGAATATTGAAAATGTAATGTTTATTAGTTCCAAAACAGTTTTACTCAGATATTTAAAAACACCTCACCTTAAAGAATATAGGGCATACAGAATATTTTAAACAGGAATTGTTATGTGTTAGCTAGGGATACCTTGTTTTAAAAGCAGAAACCCTATTTTGAATAGAAAAATAGAAAAGTGTTAACTGCATCATTTTCCACCTAAGAAGTGGTGAATGTAAGACTGTGATATTTGGATTTTAAAAAAAGCAAATTTTACTCAGTATATTTATCGTCTATAAACAAGAAAACAATGATTTGGATACTACTCAAGTATCTGTAAAACCTTCCCACAAAGATTCATTACTTTTATTACTATATTTTGTTTGTTAGGCATCATATCAAAGCTGTTTTTGCACGAGAACTATCATGTGTGCTGCCTGGTTACCACAATCTGTCTTTCACTTGCTGAGGGAAATTATTCAGTGTGAAACTGTGAACAGGAAGGTGCAGGTGCGATGGAAAACCAGGCAGGTGGCTGGAAGAAAGGTATTCATGTCTACAAGCTCTGAATGTCAAAACTCATCCTCCACGCAGCAGCTGATGACAGTGTGTGTGGGGGGGGCGAGCGCACGCACGCGTGTGTATATGTGTGTGTGTATGTCCTCCATGCAGCAGCTGATGACAGTGGGGGGGAAGGGGGGCGAGCGCGCGCATGCGTGTATGTGTGTGTGTGTGTGTGTGTGTGTGTGTGTGTGTGTGTGTGTAATACAGGTGCTTTCTTTACATTTTTCATATGCTAATGTACAAACCCAGAAAAGCAGACAGCGGCTACATGCCTATTAATTACTGTTAGTTTTATTCCTTAAGGATTATTTTCTCATGCTCCATGTCAGGCCAATACTATATTCTGTGGACTATGTTAGCAATTACCCTATGACAATGGTGTGTATAAAAGATGAATTTATGATAGATCAAAGACACAATGATGATTAAACACTCTCCTCACCATCTCCCCATCCCAACCCCCATCCATTCCTCAGAAGCTCCCCATGAGGAAATCATTAAAGCTTGTCACAACATTTGGAGCAGGACCAAGGCACTCCTCCTTGTATTTAGGCTGAGCGAGTTACACCTCCATAGGGAATGGGCTCCAAAAAAACCAGTTCATGCACTAGGGATAAATATCGGTTCTACTGCCAGTGGCCCCACAGACTACCCAAGCCCCCCAGGTGACACCCACATTCAGGGGGCCTAGATTGGTCTTATGCAGGTTCCCCAGCTGTTAGTCTGGAGTCAGTGAGCTCCCACTTGCTCAGGTCAGCTGTTTCTGTGGGTTTCCTCAACAAGGTCTTGACTCTTTTGCTCATATTATCATTTACCCCTCTCTACAGTTGGACTCCATGTTGTTTCAATGAAAATTTATGAAAGTATGAGAAACATTTTGTCTATCACTGAAATAAAACAAAATTGATTCATTTAAAACAATATGTTATTTGTGAGTACATTTACACAAATACAGTATTTATATGGATGTAAATATATGACCATGTAAATCATGATGACCACAGGAGTATCTAGAACATCTGCTTATGAAAATTGTAAAAAAATTCTATAGAGAGGAATATGTCAGCACATGATCTAAGTCAAACCCATCAGTCTTGAAAACTATTTTCTAAGGCCATGTAAATATATCCAATTTGCATGTGCCCGTCTTAAGTACTTGGAAAGAGATATGAATGAGAAACTTAAAACATATATAACTAACTTGACGCAGGAAAACTGAACTCAAAAACATCACGCTTAACTTCGGACACAGTGTTCTGAATCATTCAACGTTTAACTGTCCTTGGATAGCACACCAGGAGACAAGAAAACTCAGCGTGACAGAAAAAGAAAATGAAAGCTATGTGTCAAAACCAAAGAAATCATGTTCTAAATACAGCAGTGGCATCATGAATACATAGGCTCACATACACACATATCACAAGTGTTTAAGAAGTTTGTGGCAGCGGAGGTCATAGAACCCAGTCAAGAACAGGGATCCTGCTACTGTCTTACTAAGTGAATAGATTGTGACCAACAAAGTGACTTCAATATTTAATCCCCATAAGTTTGCATTACTTTCATATTTGGCTAGAGAAACTTCTTTTATCTGTGAGCGATGGCTAATGCAGAGACTCAAAATTGGTCCAAGTACTAAGAATAAGTGACTGTGAACTGCTCACACTTACCACGGACATCCCTAACACCACCTCCAAGATGCAGGGAACATTGTGGAAGGAGGCAAACAAGGCTGTAAGAGCATGAGGAAGAGATGGGGTACTGTGGGATGCATGCTGCTGCCGGTGACCTTCTGAACTATATAAGGTATGCTCTGAATTGGGCCATCAACATTTTATCAACATCATTATTATGCCTGTCCCTCCATGGAGATTTAGAGGCAGCTGATGGTTAATGGTCACTGGGAGATGGGAGAGTAGTGTAGCCATGGGTAATTTATGCATACTCCTCTGGGTAACCGCTACTTGGCTTCCTATAAAAAGCCTAGTTGAACTCATTAGGACAGCCAGACACACAGAGAGAGAGAGAGAGAGAGAGAGAGAGAGAGAGAGAGAGAGAGGAGACAGAGAGGATGGAAGGAGGGAGGGAGAAAGGGAGAAGGGAGGGAGGGAGGCAGGGAGGGGAAGGGATGAAAGAATGAGGAAGGAAGGAAAGAAGGAAGGAAGGAAGGAAGACATGAAAACTGAAATTGAGTCAAACTGGTTGGAAAGAAAAAAAGGAATCAGCAAAGTGACAAATGAACAAGAAAGAGTAAAGGTGAGTGAATAGTCTCAGAACACATATAATCATGAGTTGTCCTGATGACACCCATTATTATATGTTATTACTATATGCTAATAAAAATAAAGTTTTTAGAGAGTATCATAAATTTACCCAGATTTAATTGTCATGGCTGTACCAACCAAAGAGAAGTGTTAATTACATTTGGTTAAAGAACAGGCCACAACATGGATCAGCGTGTTCACACACAGAATGCAGTAGCTGAGCCACACTTTAGCACTGATAGACAGGACTGAAGAATTAGCAGAGAAGAGACTTTTGTTCTTAATTGTTAGTCGTAGTTTCGCAGATACAGATACAAATTTCTTTACCTCCACATGCTAACAAACACTTTCTCTTTTTTTCTGCACTGGGGTTCTCCTCCCTTTAGCTACTTCTCCCCAGCACGTTGCCTTTATGTTGGGCACTGTTCCTGCCTCTGTGGATTCCAAGCATCTTAATGGTTTAGAAGTCTTCAGCAGAAATTTTTCCCAACAGTGCTGTGTAATGTTTAACTCTTATGGCTTTTTGGCTTTTGCAGGGAGCCACCAACCCTAACCCAAATAAATCACAGAAGAAGACTTATTCTTACTTATGAATATCCAGATTTAGGCTGGCTTGTTTCTAGCCAGCTTTTCTTATCTTAAATTAACCCATTTGACTTTTCCTTTATCTTTCTTATGTCTCTATATCTTACTTTCCTTCTTACTCCATGGATGGCTGGGTGGCTGGGAGGCTGGGAGGCTGGGTGGCTGGGTGGCTGGGTGGCTGGGTAGCTGAGTATTTGGGTAGCTGTCCCCTGACATCTTCCTCTCCTTGTTCTCTTGCTGCTCCTGTTTTTCCTCCCTGCCTTCCAGTCCTGCCTATCCTTGCTCCTGCCTTGCTGTTGACCTTTCGACACATTATTAGGACCACCAGGTGTTTAAGACAGGCACAGTAACACAGCTTTATAGAGTTAAACAAACGCAACATAAACAAAGGTCACACACCTGAAAATAATAGTCTACCATACGACAATACATGAATATATTCAAACACTCAACACAAAGCAAAAATAAAGAACATAGTATATATACTTACCTAACTTGAAATAGGACAGCATGGGTTGGGTCCTCCTCTGCTACTTTGTGTGTTTGTCCCTAACAGTCAAATTTAAAAGTTGCAGTTGTAACTTGAAACTTCTTTTAAACTGATTCTGTCTTTTAAGCTGGAGATCTGGCTTTAGACTTTACCCATACATTGACTACAACGAATGATAGCTATATAAACATTTAATAAAGTCAGACTGAAGGACAAAAAAAAGTAGCAGTTGTAATACTGTTAACTAGAATAGAAATGCACCTGAAAGGACCTTTTACTATTGCTTTTGTTTTTTGAAACAAGGTTTCTTGTAGCTCAGGCTACCCTCAAAGATGATCCGTCTTCTCCCCCCTTCAGAAAACTAGGATTAGTTTCAATACCACACCCAACCTGAGATGGACACAACTGAAAAAGTTGAGTATATCTTTTATACATAGCTAAATAAAAGTATTTCAGTTATATTTGTTAACATTTCTTTCGTTTTCAGTGCATTATTATTAATTTCCTGATTTCTTCTTTTTTAGTTTTTACCCCCTGTAATTGCTTTATGTGACATTCCATAGTTTTTGTGATAAATAGAAGAGAGAGAGAGAGAGAGAGAGAGAGAGAGAGAGAGAGAGAGAGAGAGAGAGAGAGAGAAGCCGTTTCCAAAAAGCAATCACTGTCATATTTATTTTAAAAGTCCAGGGTCTGTCCTTGCCACATCAATAGCAAAACCCAGTTTATTGAGCCAGATAAATAGAACTGCTGTTTGTTATTTCTATCTGTTCCATATGTCTTTAGTAATCAGCTCATGCTATCATTTACCACAAGTTTGCTTATTTACTTTACACACCCTTCTTAATTATAGGAACATTAAACAAGATAGGAGACTCCAAGTTAAAGTGCCAAAAAAGATGTCAAAGCTAACAAAGAATTCTCTCAGGAGTGAAAAAGAAGGTATTTCCCATATCTGGGTGTCATGCATCAAAGGGCTACTTTATGTTAATGCAGACCCTGTCACCTTATAAAAATCTCAAAGCATGAAGTCATTTTTATAATACTAATGCTATATTTATAATTAAAATATATTTATGTTTATAAAGTGTTTGACCCAAAATATTGCACTCAAATTAAAATGTACAATGCCACATTCTGATTATTAAATTCTGTAATAAAATAAAGAACATGTTGAGAAATTAGATTATCTTTTCTGTGTGTCTGTGTCTCTCTTCATCTCAATCTCATACACGCAATCTCCTCTCTCTCTCTCTCTCTCTCTCTCTCTCTCTCTCTCCTCTCTCCTCTCTGTATTCGTGCATTCGTGCGTGTTTTGAGTCATGCTGTCTTATATCTGGATGGCCTGGAAAGCACTGGAAACAATAATGAAATTAATAAAAGTGTAATTTGGAGCTGAACATAATGTTCTTGGCAAGACTAACAGATGTTATCATGAAGGACACCTGCTTTCCAAAATTCAATTAGAGGACTCTGCTACATCATTTCCCTAAGAGCAAAAATTAGGTGCATTTTCTGTGATGTACAATATTTGCTGATTGTTAAGGTGGGAGAGTAGGGATGAAGAGATTTTTGAAGTATTCGGTGTAAATCATTCTCTAGCCTGTAAATACTTTCTGTCCTCGTTGATGTAAAACATAGTTATTTTATGATCTATTACTATGCACACTGGGAGACACACAAGCACATAAACAGTCTGCTCTTTCCTATCAAAAATGTTTCAATCCATAATGGATCCTCTCTTTATGCCTTAGTTTTGAGATGTGTTTGAAAGTAGGTAATGGTATTCTAAGAGTGAGGGAATTTAGGATATATGGGCGGGGATAGAAAGCAAAGCTTTCTCAAAAGACTGCTTCCTTTGTCCAAAGAAGACAGTGCTGAGAAAACCTGCCCTGGAACAAAACACCAGGCATCCCGGACATCCCATAGGGAGAACCTGAGGACCCAGGGGTCTTATAGAATGCTTAACCCAGAGCCCCACCCCCACTCACTACTGGCTCCCCATTCAGCATCGCCCCTCCCACCTCAGAATGAAGGCATCAGACTAACAAAGGTGGTTTTTCGTTTTTATTTTGTTTTGCTTCCTTTTTCTCTTTGCATACTTCTGTCTTTTGTCTTTCTCAAGTTTCAGTCTGTCTTCCCTGAAAACGTCGTTGCCTCTCCCATGGAACAAACGGGCGAACACGAGAATCTTCCTGACCAGTGGTCTCTAAAGGCTGAACAAAATCCATGGCAATTGTTAAAAACGAGAGTTACTTTGATCACTTTAAGGACAGTTGTTCTCACAGAACAATACTGGAAGCACGCTGTTATTGTTATCCAAGAGAGCATAGTTAGAAACATCTAATCGAACGTCAGTTTCATGTATACATCGGCTTTGTCTATTGCTGGCTGTCAAGCAATACTACAACCCACAAGAGTATGTAGAGTTTAATTTCTTTCTGTGAATTTTCTTGCTTTGAATTACACATTAAATTATGGTCAATTGAAACAACGCTTCTTTATTTGTCCTAGAAGAGATACAGTGATATTATAGGTTGATAAGCATTGCTAAATTTGTATCAAAGTTGTCTTCACAATACCTGTACACGCCCGTTTCTTAAATTTAAAATGTTTTCATCGGTTGCCCTCTTGTGGCCACATATGATACTACTACAGAAAAGAAAATCCAGTACCAAATACCGTTAAGTACTTGAAAGCAGCCATTGTCCATACAAAGAACATACACACTGAGCAGGTTGTATTTAGAAATATATATGTATATAACGCATGCATATATGTATGCAAAACAATTAATTAAGAAAGAGACTATGACATTGAAAGAGAGCAAGGAGGAATATATTATGGAGGGGATGAGAAAGAGGAAATATATAACTATACTGTAGTCTCAAAAAATAAGCATTTTTAAGAAGCAGTGTTCCATGGCATTATTTTATTTTTCTTAATCATAAGCTATGTGGATTAGTTTTATTAAAACTAAACTTTATAGTATATCAAGGTGAAATTTATATTTATTTGAAACACAAGAAAAATCATGATACTTTAAAATTTGGTACATGCTACTATAAATTTATTCAATAACTGTAATAGTAAATGGGGGAGAGTTGCTAGAATTATTAGCTCTGAATAGGTAACATTTATGAGCACAGAGAGTTAGAATAATTCATTGAATTTACAAATTAAAATTAAAAAGTTTTCCTACTGATCTAGGACAATATAAAAGAAGAACTAAAGTTAGTGTGTAAAATTAGTGGGTAAATATATTTTAATTACCTATTATACCTAATCAACTGGGCATTTGTTCTTTTCTCAGAAAAAATGAAATTCAACTTCATATGTTATTTGTGTGTGTGTGTGTGTGTGTGTGTGTGTGTGTGTGTATACAGACCTCAGCGCACATGAAGGTCAAAGGACAAATTCCAGGAGTTGGGGGTCACATTCTACTGTGTGTTGCAAGGCTCAAGGACAGGTGGACAGGCATACAGAGAAAGCATCCGGAGCCCTCTCCTAGGATCATGTTTCTATTCCTAATGATGGCATGGTGAACAACACCAGCACACACAGACATGGGAGCTACTGAAAATTAGTTGAATCTGGGCTACCGCTTTCTGTCTCCTCAGTCTTAGAGTCTTCATCTGTAAAGAGAGAGTTTGGGGCCAGTGATCTTGCATGGTAAATACTATGTTTGATGGCCCTTATTAAAACAAGACAGGAGGACAAGTTCCTAGTCCAGTCCTAAACACGGTACCAGGAGGGATGAACAGAAGTGAGGTGAGGCAGCATGTTCTCGGGAGATTTCCTGGACCAGACAGGCTGATGGCATGAGTTTAGCACAGTAAGGCTATCGCCAGGCTTCTGCTCTGAGGAAGAATAAGATGACAAAGCTGTAGTGTTTTCAGCTACTCAGTGCATAGTCATTGTTGCACTTGTAGAAGGGAGCTAATACAATCACACACCACACATGCTTCATTGAGTGCTTGTTCTCAGCTCCAGTCCTGAGTGCATGCATCAGCCTTGCCTGGTCCAGAGGGCAGCTGCTCCTAACCGCAATGTTTGTGTGGCCTCAGAGGTAGGGCACACAGGTTCTGTTCCCTCTGACGTGTACATGCCGAATAGTTCTTCAAAAACAACTGAGGGTTTCCAGTGCCGAGAAGCCCCAACAGTGGAAGATCTCACTATTTTCCTACTTTAGTCCTTTTCTTTAGACCATCATCAGTGAGCCTTTGGGACACCGCCTTGAAAAGTTCAAAACAAAATTTAAAAAAACTTCAAAAGGTTTTATCTCCCTGACTCAGCCAGAGACATCAAAGCAAATTTTCCAACTAGGACTATCTATGCATACATTATAAAAAAGAAGGATGCTGTTTTACATAATTACACAATCCTTTGTTTTAACATTCACAGTGCTCTGCCCTGTCACATTCTTACTATGTCTGTGACTAAGTGGTTGACTTTTTAAGCCCAATTCCTATGACTAGGAAGGAATATGTATTGACTGTTAATATTATACTAGAACACACACTTCCAGTTATGCTGAATATACGTTGTGAATTATATAATTAAATTTATCAGCATTTTCCAGGTTAAAAAGTATTACCTTAACAGCAGGATCATATGCTAATAATAAAATCCCTTTACATGAGTGGCTATGAGGATGATTCTTTCTAAGCCTTATTCCTTGCTTATCCCTCAACAATCTGAGAGTGTGTTCAGATAAAAGAAAAAACATTCCCAGGATCACCCAAAGTTAGAAATTACTAAATAAGCATCCTTAGGGAAAAGGAAAAATTCAAAACATATTTCTTTGTATTAAGAGGCTTTCGTGGTGACTGGCAGAGATCACACTCCTAACCTAACTTGCAACATGTCTGCACAATGAGGCCAAGGTTCATACTGTTATGTACAAACTTATGATAAGGCTGCTTTATAATGGGTCCAAAATATTTAAACAACATAGACCTGTGTCCAAGATCAATACCTCTATTCTCAACATAGTTTAAAAGAATCATTATGACTTGTTATCACTCTAACTTATTTTAGTAAATCTCTGTTGGGGGCCATATGAGGGGATCAACAGGTTGCATGGTAACTCGTGGGATATTGCTGGGTGGTTGGCAAAGCCATGCCTGAGTGAGCCTTAGAAGGCAATATCCCAAAGACTACATGTGTTAAGCACCTCATGTGCTGTTACTGGACATAGTTCTGAGTGTCACCTTCATGTGAACCACATCCCTCCTAGTCTATGGGTGTATGAAAACTCTCAAGGGGTCTTTAGCCCCTCACTGGGAAATGTTCTGGTACTTACAATAATACTGATTGACTTTTTCCAAGAATTGTCGCTGGAGCAGATTAATGATTCAACCACCACCTTTAGAAAGAATTTAGACATATACAATTATTAAGTAAGATTATGTTAAGGTGGTTTTGTTAATGGTTTGAGGCAGAAAATCTTTTTTTCTCAGTGTCCTTTTTTTATTTTATTTTATTTTCCAGTTAAAATTTAGATAAGAAACAAGGGTGCTTCACAAGTCAGTTCCAGGTCCCTCTCCCTTTCCCTCCCCTCCTCCCGTGCCCTCCCCCGAACCCCCCCTATTAACCCCTCATTCCCCCAGGGAGGGTGAGGCCCTCCATGGGGGTGTCCATAGTCTGTCATTTCAAGGGCAGGGCCTAGACCCTTCCCCAAGAGTTCAGGGTGAGAGTGCACCTCACATTGTTCTATGGGAGTCCAAAGTCCGTGTGTATACTTAGGATGGGTACTGATCTGCTGCCCAAGGCTCAATAGATTACCTAGGCCTCCTCACTGACACCCAGATCAGGGGGTCTTGATCAGTCCCATGCTGGATTCCCAGGCTGATGCCTGGGATTCAAGAGTTAACCTTTGTCTGGTCAACTGTTTCTGGGGGTTAAACCAGCCCAGTCTTAATCCCTTTGATCATCAGTCCTCCCTCTCTGTTACTGGCTTTCTTGAGTTCAGCTCAGTACTTAACCGAGGGAGTCTGCCTTTTCTTCGATCAGAAAATCTTCAGGAACCACACAAAGTTTAGAAAGACACTTTTAATAGTTGAACAAGGAACTAGTTGAGGGCCAAGAACAGAAACATAGGAACCCTGGCTATTGCTGACTGATATACCTTTCTTGCTAGTGTGAGTAGGCAATCAAATATGATGGTTAACCCCTTGTACCAGTTTCTTCCCTCAGTTTCCCAATATAAAAACCTGTTGGTGAATGGGTATGCAATCCAAACACGGGTAGAGAAAAGAAGTAGTAGATGGAGTCAGGAAGACGCCATGTAGCCCCCAGGAAGGTAGGATGCCCGGGGAATTATCTGGTAAGATACAGCCATGTGAAGACACATGGATTAATAGTTATGAGTTAATAATTAAGAGAAAGCTATCCAGTAAGAAACCTGAGTCTGTGATTAAGCAGATTGTAATTAATGTAAGCCTCTGTGTGTTTATTTGGGACTAAACAGCTGCAGGATTAGGTGGGTTATAAACTTCATCTACAGTCTGGTGGCATACTTCTCATTTTTAGTCTAACAGTGTTGGGGGGAAAAGAGATACGCAACTTTAAGCCAATGTTAGCCAATAGGAAATTGCCTGGAGAGATAGGTAAGAAAACTATGCTATGATTTTGATCTGGGTATCAATGATAAAGAACAGACAGAAAGTGATTTGCATATTGGTTCCTGAAAGCTAGAGAAGCCTTGGCTTGGCAGAGAAGGAGATGCAAGGCAGGGATAGAGCATCCCTGAAATGTTATAAGCACAAATAAATCTCAGCAAATGAAGGATTAGAAGATTTGCATGATTTAAGGGTTGAAAATTTTATAAGTGGATATATGATGAAAATAGAGAAAGAAAAAAGTTATAACTCATCAAGATGATGATTTTTGGTTGTGTTTTGGGGTAGTACTTGGGGATGTTGGGTAATATATAAGACTTTTATATTTTCATTAGGAGTTAAGAGAAATATATTTTTAAATGAAATAATAGAATATTCATCATGGCTCAGTGAGCAAAGGTCTTGTTTATATTATATTATTTATGTTACATAAATAATAACCTGAGTTTTTATTCCCAGCACCCTGAGAAGGCAAAGACAGCAGCATTCCTGAAACTCGCTGGCCAAATAGTCTATGGAAACCTCTGAGCTCCAAGTTTCGGTGCAAGACGGATTCTAAAATTTAGGTGGAAAATGACTGAGAAGGACAGCCTAACTCACCTCCTGTCCTCCACATGCATATACATACATGTAATCTTGCACCTTTACACACAAGACCAGGCATAGATTAACACACATACAAATAGGAGATGTTTTGGCATTTGGCAATGCTTGAAGTGGAAAATCTACTTATTACATACATCTCCTCTGTTAACCTAGTGATTGGAGATCATATAAGGATTTATAACAGAAGTAAAAAGGACACCTTTTCTTCCCCAATACTTGTAACATCAAATATTGCTCCAAATAAAAAATGGTGATT